TCTAGGACTTCAGGGGAAACCACCAGGCTGACAAGAGGCAAGCTGGCAGGTCAGCCACCACTTGGGGAAAGCTCCTAAGGATGAAGCCCAAAGCAGTCAAGCAGAGATGAAAGAGTTTCTTCCTGTCCTTTGACCACCTGGATCCAGCTGTGACTAAAGCCAGACCCCCGGAGCTTTTCCACTACACATGCCAATAAATTCCTTTTTTGTTTGTTTGTTTAAACCAAGCTGGGCCGCTGCCATTTCCCAAAAATATCCCAACATAACCTACTGGTGCCAAATAGCTAAGATAATTCACTGAAATAAAATAAAAGCATGGCTGATTTTTGCAGGATTGTAAAGCAGCCAAATGTCATCATGTTGCTGCTGCACTGTGGTTTAAAGACACAGGGAGAGAGGCAAAGGAGTTAAGCCTGCAGCACGCCATCTCTGTTTTCTCCTCTCAAGCCAATTTCAACATCAACCTCTACCTTGTGTTCTCTCCCTCCCCAACCTGCCCTCAGCTTTTCTTACTCTCTGGGTTCCTTCTCTCTAACCCACAGATACACCCAAGTCTCCTCCACTTGGACTTCAATGTGAAAAAATCATCCATACACAACAATTAGGCAGAAAAAATAACAAAAGAATTTAAAGAAATGTCAATGATGACTGTCTCTGATGGTAGGATAACAGCTGATTTCAAAAAAATATTTTTCTGGGGGCTGGGTTTGTGGCCCAGTGGTGGAGTGCTCACCTAGCACGTGTGAGGCCCTGGGTTCACACTCAACACCACATAAAAAATAAATAAATAAAATAAAGTTCAAAAAATTGTTTTAAATATTTTTCTGTATTTACATTTTCCTGGTATTCCTTTTATAATACATACACGTTTTTAGATTTAGAAAGATTGCTACCGCCATCTTTCCCGCCGCCATCTTTCCCACCCCTTACTGGCAACTTCATACAGCAAAACACAAGGCATCACCCTCCCCACTTCCTCCCTCACATCCACTGTGACTAAGTTGCTATTCACTCCACTCAGTTAAAACCACTGTCCCCCAGGAGACCAAGGTGGCTACCTTGCACCCAAACATTTCTCTTCCTCCTTCAGCCACTTGGCCTTTCTGGATTAACAGCCTTCATTCCCTTGGCTTAAGTCTGAACTGCAGTGTCAGCCTCGTAGGCTTCTTTCCTTTCCTTCCTCGTTAATTCAATAAACCTTACCACGTCCCCTCTCATGTGTCTTGAATGGACCACCTCTTCTCCTTTAGTAGCAGCCATCTGTTCACTCGCCTCCCACAGCCTCACCTCCCACAGCCTCACCTCCAAGCCTCCTATGTCCACACCCCTTCTCCATGTCACTATCCCTCCTCTGGGAGTTACTGCCCTAAACCCAAACACTATCTCTAATGACCCCTGAAAGCATACAAAAATCAAGTTCCATTACTGACTTGACACCAGAGGCACTTCACCAGCTAGTCCCAGCCCACCAGCCTTGGCTCCCACCTCTGCCAAGCCTGTGTTACAGGCTCCAGGGGGAGCCAGCTGGGCAATTGTGCCCAGGAGACATTCTACTCACACACCCCGGGTCCTTCTGCACGCTTCTTGCTCTGCTCTGGGCTGCCGTGCCCTCGCCCTCGCCCTCCCCCTCCCCCTGTAAACCCCGGCTCATCTGTCAAGACCCACACCAACATTCATTCCGACTGTTTTCATAATCAGCCCTATCACACTATATTTTGGTCCCAGTAGACAGTGACCTACTAAAATGCAGCAGAATCATTTTACTTGTTATTGGATACTGGCCTCATGCCTACAGAAAGCAGGCAAATGAACAGGAAAAGGGAGAGAAGAAACTGCAGACCTCCTCTCAAAACTGATGTTTTAATATAGACTAAGGGAGTAATTATAGTATTGCTGGCTTCAAAAAATAACTACAATTCTCCCAAAAGACTTTCGTGTGGTTCGTACAACATAGTAGTTGGCCAATTTGAGTTCCCCACTCTTGCAGCATCTATTATACTACTGGGGTCACTTCTTTGGATTTCAAATCAGCATATTTGGATTTTTTAAAATAAAAATTTAAATTTTTCATAATAAAAATGTCAAACTGTCTTAATTTCTTAGCTCCTCATTCATTCATGGCATCACCAAATAATGCTCTGGTTAAGATTTATAAATCTAAAGCTTCTTCTTTTAAAAATCTGTGTTTGAATATACCTTTTGTGTACAGAAAAGTAATACTATAGTATTCTTTAACCTTTTCCAATTATATCTATCGCATTTATTTTTTAAAGAATCATTGATTTAATAAAAACAACTTTTAGTTATAGGGCATTGAATGAAGTGTAATTACAGAAAATTTAAATCTGAAGATTTCAGAATTTTAAAGTAGTGAGGTGACATCTCACATCCTGAAGTAGTTAATCCTGTTGACAAAACCATCAGTAAATTCTTTAGGCATTTGCATTCCTCTAAAAGAAAGAGGATGCATAAAATCGCTCTCTTGTTAAAGAGAAATGATGGAACCTTCAACAACTTTTTACCAAACGTTAACCATGTTCAAAGTCTGATACTAACAACCCCAGAGCACAACACAATGGCAAGGCATTCCACCCCTCCAAGTCCCGAGGGAAAAGACAAGAAGGTGGACAACGGCAATGCAAGCCCCACCTGAGACATCACAGAGAGGGTCTGACATGCTGTGGCGGGTGGGAAGGGAAAGATTCTATACCCAGCAAGAAGGTTCCAGGAAATTCTTCTTGCAAAGAATAAGACGTCAGCCCTGAAGAACAGGCAGCATATTTACCAACAGAACTGGAAAAAAGAACATTTGAGGCTGGTAGAGTTTGGATGAGTGTCCCCCAAAGGCTGGCATATTAAAAGACAGTCCTAAGCTGGCGCTGCTGGGAGGTGGTGGGCCTATCAGGAGGCAGGGCCTACTGGGAGGTTTTAGGTCACTGGGTGAATGCCCAGTGGGATTGTGGAACCTCAATCATCCGCTCTTTTTCTCTTTTCTCTCTGCTCTGGCTTGAGATGTGAGCATTTTGCTCCAACATGGGCTTCCTGCCACTGTCATCCACGCCACAAAGTGATATAATCATAGGGTGGCCCTCACCAAGTGTTCTAGGCTATTCAAACTTTCAATCTCCAAAACTATAAGCTAAATAAACTTTTTTCTCTTTATAAAGTTAATTTCCTCAGGTATTTAGTTCCAGAAATGAGAAGTTGATGGATAAATGGAGGACAGCAAGAAACAGGGAAAGTAGATTGAAACATGAGTCTCTAGAGCGGTCCCCTTAAACAGTCCTGGGTTTTCTCATTGCCAACTGCCACCTCCTTCCACACCATGCAGTCAGCCAGCTTACAGCTACTCCCAAGGGATTCTGAGCTGAATCCTGTGGGCAACAGACATAATGGAACAGTTCTGAGCAGAGATCCTACAAATACAGAGCTTGAGGAAAATTAACGTGGCAACAGCATACAGAAATTGAAGGAGAGACCAAAACACCACAATAATAGGGATAAGGTAAATGTGCAGAATTTACTGTCACTGCATGTTTTGGAAATAGTCTCAGGCACTGCAATCAGGAGTTTGAAGCAATCTATTACTGCTTGTTTTATGCTTAAAGTCACATAAAAAATATTTAATTCCCAGAAAACTTTACAACCCTATCCTAATCTTCTCCAACTTCTTTGTAATAAAAAGTCTGACTCTATTTTAGTACTGGGCCACTGACAGCTTTCAAGCCCCATCGCTCTCCTTCCGTACCCCATCTGTGAAAGGCAATAGGAAACCTGTCAACAGGAAGATCAGACCTTTGCCTCTGCATAAGAGCCCTCATCTGGTCCACTCCCCAACCACAATGAAAACCAAAGTCATGCACCTCTCCTTCTCCAGCTCAATGGCGCACTCTGGGTACCCACCCTGCTCTCCCCAGAAAGCCACATTATGTGAGTATTAAATCTTTCACACTCTCTTAACCTTGTGTGGCTCCATCAGTCTTGACATGCACCAATATGGGGTAGGAGGGCTGATCCCAACCTCCACAGAGTAACCACGAACACTATTTAACAGTAAATTCCCATGATGTCCATGTCTAGATTATAGGTGAAAGGATATAGAGCAGGGCCATAACGGAAATCCTAAAAGGTTTCTATGCCCCCTAATTAATGTCCTGTGGTCTAAAGATCAGCTCAATAATGACTATGTTGAATTGTGTGTTTGTCCATCTTCTGTGGCTATAACAAAATACCTGAGGCCAGGCATTTATATCTATAAAGTATGAAAGTTTATTAGGTTCACAGTGCTGGAGACCAGAAAGTTTAAGAGCATGGTGCCAGCATCCTCTTGGCTTTTGGCAAGAACTTTCTTGCTGCATCATCACATGCCAGAGGGCATCACATTGAGATGGAGCAAGTGTGCTAGCTTGAGTCTCTTCCTCTTCTTAAAAGCCACTAATTCCAGCCTGGGAGCCTGACTCTCACGACCTCATCTAACCCTAATTATCCCAAAGCCCCCACCCCAACATGTGAATCTGAGGATTAATTTTCTAACCCATAAACTTTCAGGAGACCCCCTATTCAAACCATAGTAAATAGTCACATAGATTCACTCAAATTTCTAGTTTTCAACTTTAAAGCCATTTAACATGCCTGGCCCCAGTCTGTCCTCCCAACTCGAAGACCCTGCAGAGTCATGAGAGCTCTGTGCTTAATTCTCCTATAACTGCTTACTTTCAACTAAAAGAAGCCTCTGCACAAGTTGGGATGGAAACACAATTAACATCCTCTTTTCTTAAGATTCTCAGTTTAAGTGCCAGGACAAAAAAGGCTAAATTCAGTAGTCACAAATAATAGCATTCTTCAAGCAGCACTTGTAACCAAGTGATAATCTTAATGTGTGATGGCACAGAAAGTATTTTCATGTCTTTTCAGCCATCCTACAGAAATCTAAAGGTCACAATCATGAAAAACAGCAGCTTCCGAGAAAGAGAGCTTATGATATAATATGATGTACTTACACATCTTTAGCTGCTCCCGCAGGGCCTGGAGGGGGAAAAAAGACAGGTTGGTGTTGGTACAACAGTATAGCTACAAACATGTGAAGCCCAAGACCTAACTAGTAACACTCCAGAAGAGCTAAGAACATTTTTCAATCATTTCAAAAAGGAAAAGGGCAAGAGAAGTACAAAATTCAATTCTTAAGTTTAGAATGTGTTCTGCCCATTTTTAACCATCCCTATACGTTACAAGGTGTGGGTTCCAAAGAGGAATGTACAGGTCACCTAACCCATTCTCCCACTTTATACATAAGGAAGCAGACAGACCCTGAGGAACATTTTCTTTTGGAAGCCACACCTTGGAAGCTGGTGTGCACACTGCATTCTTGTAAGTCACGCTGTACAGTTATCACAAAGGGAAAGCGAAGTCACAAGAAGAAATGGAGGTGACAGACTCCATGGATCAGGGCATCTCAAGGACACCCGTCTCACTCCACAGGAGTCGCGTGCTTGTCTAACTGGGCTCCAGCTTGCTGCTAAACTCTCTCCTTTCTGCTTCCCACCCACGTGCCAAAAGCAGACCACCCCCTTAGGACGCCATTCCCATCACTCACCACAGACTCTCTGCTCCCCCCCAGTACCTTTATCTGTAGGACACAGAACCTGATTCCAACACTTACCAGCCACGTGGCATCAAGCCTCCTTTACAACTCTCAAAACCTCAGTTCCCTCGAGTGGGTAAAAAGGTTATTCTCAAGATTATTGTGAAGATGTTAAAAGATAATGTGTACAAACAGCAAAGTCCGACACATAAAAATAGCACACCAAATTATCGTTAGCAATCACAGTTAACTTTTCAATTTCCATATCTATGAAATGAAAACTAAAACACTTCAGCACAAATCACAGAAAATTGGAAATAAAGATGTGCTACACAGTAAGTACACGAGAAAGCAGGAACAGTTACTTCCAAACTTGCAAGAACTATACTTCAGTGACATTAAGGCTTGTAATACTAATAGCTGGTCATAAAGATAATCAAGACTGTCTCAAATGCATTCTTTTAAGGCTTTCACTAAACCTGAACTTTGCCATGAACACCCTTTTGTCTTTCCAGGAAGAGTAACATTTTTGTGAAACAATATCAGTAGAATGGAGGTTGGGAACTTTGTGCTTTGGTATCCGAGATCTTTTAAACCAAAATTATAAAATTAAAAAGAAAAACAACTGCCAACAGCAGAGTGTTTTGACAGAAGAATAATAAAGGATTAGTGCCACCATAAACCCATAAAAAATGAACATTTTATTTCAGAGTCCAAACAGGCAGAAAAAGTCTAGAAAGAAAATAACATCCTGTTCTTGTTTTTATTTCTACAGAAAGGAGCGAGAATATCTGGGAGGGGAGCAGCAGAGGGGTCAGAAACTTCGTGATTCCTCAAGTGGGTGATGAGGACGTGGGCCTGGAGTCCTGGGCACTGAATGCAGAGAGCCAGCACAATCCAGGGGGAGAGGAGCAGGCACGCGGGTCCCCACTGCAGCCTGGGGAGGCAGCGGGGTGGGGTGAGAACAGCACGGATTTGGAAGGCACACACCTGAGCAGGGTCTGAGACCTGCCTATCAGTTACTAAGTCATTCTGCTTCAGTGGCTGACGGGGACATGCAGCCATCAGGAGCCTCCATCCGCTTCACCCTGACTACCAAGGACACCACAGGTCCTCTCCCTGCTGGGCTCACCATTTAGAAACCCAGCGGGCCCAAGAGAGATGCATGGTGCCTCCTCCAAAACGAAGTCAAGGGATTGTACTTTCTGTTCTAAAATGTCCCTCGATCAAAAGGGCAGCATCTGTTTAATAACAGCAGCAGTTATTAAACTGGGGCGAAGTCAGAAACACTCTATCAGTACACACAAAGGATTGTAAAGGGCACTCCATTTTCAAAAAGGGAAGAAATCTGCATCTTAGAAGCAAGGTAACATGGTGGTTAATGACAAGCTTACAGCCAGGCTAGAGAGACTATGACTCCCCGACATATAACTTCTCAGAGTTTAAAAAAAAAAAATTCAATCGATGGAAACCCTTGCCAAACTATCAGAGCACCTAAGTATATAAAATGTGAAGTAATAAGTCAATTTGCCCTAAAATAGCATGAACTCCAAAAATGATTAGAAACAGAAAAATTATTACCTTTGCTGCAACATTTTAATCACATTTCATTTAATTATATAAATAATGAGATCAAGACTTCTACTTGAGATAATTTATGCAAAAATACTTTGACCAGAACTATTCATACAGTGACAAAATCCCATGTGGTTTAAAGTGTATTTGCAATTTATGTGATTTATCATTGATTAAGCAAATATTTACAGTGGTGCATCTACTTTCTGGACCCTGGGATGGACTGTTCATCCCTGTTAATACCACTTCATTTCCCACCAAACTAGCTCTTTACTGTTTAAACAGAGGCTTGCAGGGTTAACATCATGGATCTTAGAAGAAATAGAGATGCAGGGATGGTAACAATTTTTCTTGTAGAAAAATAAAATACCAAGACACATAAAGAATCAGAACTTTTTTAAGTCAAAAGATTTAATTACCAGATTCTAAAACTGTATAAAGATAATCATAATTTTAAGTGTCTTCTTTTAAAACAAATTAAGAGGGAGAAAGTTTACTTTCAGAAAAGTATAACATGCAGCTCCAGGACCAAAACCTAATTGCAGGGCTGGGGGCATAACTCAGAGTAGAGCGCTTGCCTAGCATGCTCGGGGCCCTGGGTTTGAGCCCTAGCACCCCCAAAAGAAAAGAACTGTAAATACATTGGATGTCTAAGGAATAACATTTCCTTCTGAAATTACCTATTTCTTTAAAACTTAAACATCATTGGTTGCTCACAATATAACTTCATTTCATTGTGATCATGTTTATTACCCTTTATACACTTTAAAAGACCTTATTATTTTATCCATGAGCCTCAAAGTCAAAAAAGTCTCAGTTACTTCAAAATACGTAGCAAACTCAATTTGCTCCAGCACTCAAAAAACTTAATCTGATATTGGAACGCCACAGAAGAGATTTGGTCTTTTCCCCCGGCTCTAGCAAAGAGCTCCCGAAACCCTTGGAGTTTCCTACCTGATAAAGGTTGACAAGGGTGACTCTTGCCAAGCCCCTAGATAGCCTCAGGATGGCAGCTGGACCCCAGAAAGACCAAGGCTTGATGAGAAGGTGGAACTCTGAGCCCCACTCCCAATCCTAGGGAGGAGAGGGGGCTGGAGAGAAGCTAATCCCGATGGCCGATGACTTCATCGATCGTGCCTATGTAAGGAAGCCTCCAGAAAAGCCTCCAAAAAAGGACCCGCTTCAGTGAGCTGCCCAGTTGTGAGCACCTCCACTGGCCAGGAGGGGACCAAAGCGCCTGTGCTCAGACACTTCCAGGCCTCGCCCCGTGACCTGTTTATTTGTGTCCTTTGTGACAAAATGTGTAAAACACCTTCCTGAGTTCTGTAATCCACTCTGGCAAAGTACCAAACCTGAAGAGGGTGGCGTGGAACTCCCGAACTCGCAGCCACGCTGACAAAATGTGGGTAACAGGAGGCCCCATACTTGTGAGTGGTGTTTGAAGTGAAGGCAGGCAGTCTAGCGGACAGTGCTTTGCCCTGGAGTCCCCATGAACCCTGGGCAGTCAGCATCAGAGCCTAACTGCACTACAGGACACTCAGGGGGTGGTGGGGCATCAGCTGGTGTTAGGAAGAAAGAAACTCTCATTTCTTCATGCTTCACATAAAAATGTAGGACCCTCACAGGAACTGACCAGCCTTGAAGTACACTGAGATTTAACCATGCTGTACTTCTGTCAGCAAGTATTCTTTACACTCCAGATCCAGAGTTTCTAACAATATTTTCCTCTACGCTAATTTTGTGCATTCCTGAACAACTGCAGAAAAGAACTTTCTGTATTAGTTTCCTGGGTTGCTATAACAAACCACCACAAACTGGGTGGCTTAAAACAGCAGGAATATAAGCCCTCACACTTCCCAAGGCCAGGAGCAATAAATCCAGGAGTCAGCCAGAATGGACCTCCTCAGCCACAGTCCCCAGGAGAAACTAGGGCCTGCCTCTCCCTGCTTCTGGGGCAGTGGGCACTGCTGGGCACTCCTTGGCCAGTGGCTGCATGGTCTCTGCTCTCTCTCCATCTTTACAGCACCTCCTCCTCTCTGTGTCTGTCTTCTCTTCGGTCTCTTATGAGAACACTTGATTTAGGGCCCACCCAGATCACACAGTATCACCTTTTCATCTCAAAATACTCCACTTAATTACACTGGCAAAGACCCTCTATCCAAATAAGGTCACATTCACACATTCCAGGGATGAGGGCATGGACGTATCTTTACAGGGACCACTGTTCTATAGACTACCTTTCTTACCCTGTCATCCCCCTCCTTGAGAAAAAGAAATTCTATGGTGAAAAGAAACATGGCAAAATTAACATGGGAGGGGGACCAAATTTAACATGACATATCATACATCCCAAAACACAAAATGTATTCCCAGAAAATGATTTAAGCAAGCCAGCTGCATGGTTGGGTAATTTTAAGTAGAGCTACACATCATCTTGGTTCCAATGGGCAGATGTTCCTTTGAGATCTCATCAGTCCGCCTTGTAAGTTAAGAAGAGTGAGTCACACTGCCCAGAACGCCTTCAGTATCATCCACATTCGCGCACTCACTAATGGCAGAAGTTCCTCACACAAGCCAAATTCTAAGAAAAATACTTGCTTTTTTGGTGGTGCCTCACTCATGCTGGGCAAGCACTCTACCACTGACTACAACTCCAGTCCCTTACTTCTTTTAAAAGAACACATGATTTCACATTTGAAAAAACAGACTACTACAACAAACCTTTTTTGAAATATACTAGAAATGTTCACTGGAAAATAAATTGCTAAATTATATGTTGTGATATTTCATTCTTCAAACTCAGTGGTGATGACTCACACATACACATATACACAGGCAGACATGCACCAAAAATAATGTACATCAGGAATTTATAAAAAAAAAAACTCAAGATTTACAAATCACTCTTCTTAGAGCATAAAAAATAAGAAACGGCTATGGTTCTTATGGGAAATAATAAAAACATGTAGGAATGTTCTACTCATTTTATAAAAGAAAAAGTCTCACTGACAACTGTATAAACACAACTACAGAAAAATAAACAAAATTCTCTTTAATTCTGACAGTTTTCTATGGGCGCCTTTGACCCATAATAGTTCTAAAACTATGTCATAGTCTCAGTTTGGCCAAAAGAAATGGAAGAACACAGCTCATTAGTATACCCCGAGTGGTGTTTATTTTTAAGAATGCAGAATCATCAGTCATTTCTTCAAATAATGGAAAAAACATTTCAGGTCAGTGTGTCCTAGAAATCAAAAACGCTGCCAATGACTATGAAAGCTCTTGCAGAAAATCTCTTTGTTTACAGGTTGTCTTTGCTGAGCAGTTCTATTTTAGGTCATAAAAATTAAATGTAAAGGCAGCCGATAATGAGTACCCACGTAAGGTAACGTGCGGACCCTTGGCTGCTATAATGTACTGATGCCATGTCTCTACTGAACTGCGTGTAGATGGAGAGACTCTAGGACACCTTTTGAACCATTCACACGGCCGCAACGTCCAGTCTGGGAAGCTGTAGCATGTGGGTAACACACAGAACCTCCTGAGTGTGTCACGCGGTGATAATGCAGAGCAGAGGCGTCCCCCCACCATGCATTTGTCATCACTTTCAACGTGGTACTCCCAAGAGCATGTTGGTCACCTGCCCCTCCCTACCTTGCCCCTAGTGAGCAGCGGCCTCCTCCTGGTCACCCAGGCTGTGATGGTTGAGCTCATTTTTACATCTCCCTCCTCCTCCAACACACACCCGCAGCCTGTCTGCCTGTGTCTCTGACTTCAAGGCCTCCCACCGGAGCAGGACCCAGAGCTGGGGTCCAGGCCCTCAGCAGTCTGAGGAATCCAAACACAGCTTTTGGTTCCACCTCTTCTGTAGGCACACACCTTCGGCAGCTCACTCTCCTTCCACACCAGTCACAAATGTCTTTCCCTATACATTACAGCCTACAGGGACACAGGCTTCCCTACAATAACAGCACAGGAGTATCTGCACTGTGTGAGGCACTGTTCCAAGCAGCTGACGTAGACTATCTCATTTAATCTTAGTAGGTTCTATTCTTGCATCCCATTTTACAATTGAGGAAATTAAGGAACAGACAACTTAAGCAGTTACCCAAGGTCACACAGCAGATGAACAGCAAAAGCAGATCTCAAATTTAGACCTCCTGGCTCCAAAGCCCACTCTCAATTCTGAAATATACTGCCTCTCCAGCCTCCTTGCCCCCATCCTGAACATCCTTACTTCCTTCTCATTCCCAGCAACCACCATGAAGTACCAAAGCCAGCCAAGCCAGACTTCTCAGCACCAGAAAATGCACCAGTCCCACTGGGACTTCACAGAGCCCTAAAAACACCTTCCAGCTAAGGACGCAGCATGCAGGAGGCCTGGTTTAATTTCCAGCAAAACACACAGACACACACACACACACAGACATACACACACACAGACATACACACACACACAGCAAGCCCTTCCTGATTCTACTTGTCTAAATCCTACCTATTCTTCAAAGTCAAATCAAGACCCACTTCTCCCTAGTGGTTTCCCTGCTGCTTAAGGTTTTATTTCATCCTCTCAATTCCTACATCAATGACAGTTACCTCTTAAGACGGAACTTCATTTTCTCTCGTTTCTCAGATATACTCATTCATTCAACAAATATTATTTTGAAAGCCAAGGAAAAATAAATTCCACTAAAAGAAAGGCAATGAGTCTAGAGGCTGGGGGACCACTGTGAATACCATGTGTGGGCTCACCTGTGTGGGCCTGCGTGGGGGAGGGGACAATGAGATATGAAACAAAATGTCAGCTCCCCGCAGAAGGTAATTCAGAGAAAAGATTAGAGGGAGCTCAGCAGGACAGAAAGGAAGATAGTGACCTTCTTTCTATTTCTAGGTGAGGGGAAGAGGGAGTGATACAATATACAAATGACTTCTTTGATGGTATCAACAAAATTTTATATTTTTCCCCCACAAGGCATAGACCAATGCTAGGTACAGGTGCTTCATTCCAATACTACCAAACCATCTACAGATGTCAATTAAGGCTGAACCAATGTAGCTACATCAACAGAGAATATAATTATCTAGTAATTAAAGACCAGGAAATAACTAATCTAAATAACTGGACCCAAAAGGAATCTATTAACTCCTGGGTACACTGATAAAGTAAGATAAATAATTGTTAAGCTCCCGTTCCTCTTCTTCCTCCTACCCCTCTAATGCTCTATTGTTATATAAATAGCAGAAGAACCACTATAGAAACAATAAACTTCCCACAAAATTACAGTCAGATAGTTGCCAATTACATATCTCTGGCAAAACCTACAACTTACAGATTCAACAAAATATTGTCAACTAAAATAACTCTCCAGCAGGCAAATAATTATTCTGCATTATAAAAGGGTACTGGAGATAGTTGGAACCATTTGAATTTTTAAGGGGCCTCCTGGTCTACATGAAAAAGAATTTGGGTGGATATTACAAAGCTGTCTCTGTGGCTGTGTGAACACGACTGAGTGACCTGTTGTACTTCATGAGGTCAAAACGCAGAGCTGCTCACTTTTCTGCCTTGTTAATGGGTAGCTCAAGGGAAAACAAGAAAATAGAGAGTATCTGATGGGACTGGGGAAGGGAGACACAAAAGCTGTTTGCCTTATAGTAAATGTGACACATTAAATATACTACTTAATCCAGATGCATCTCCTCAGATCAAGGTCTAAGATAGACTAGACGATGCAGGAAAAATGTTCTGAGTCCTCACAAAATGGAAAATATAAGAAGCCACCCTACTTTATAGTTCTAGGCTGGGAAAAATCAAATCCCTACCTTGGAGAGAATGGTCATATTAAAATGGAGAGCTCTTGAGCCCTCAAAAGGGTTCTTCCACTCCCTCATGGGCTAATAACTCACCTCCTCCTCCAGAAAGCCTTCTCTGATTATTGGTCACTCAACACCTCTGGGCACCTGGAGGTTCAAGGTGTATTCTACTCTACATTGCTTTGCAATTGCTCCCATGTGCTTAATCTGTCTACCTAGACTGTCAGCTTGTCAACAGCAAATAAATTTGATTGCATTGTACAATTGTTAGGCAGGAGCTCAGGAACACCAAGATGGTGAAGGGAGGGTATAAGAAGAATGTCTGTCGATGGAGGAGAAAACAAAGAGACAAGTTATGTCCCTGTTTCCGATAAGTCCCATTACCATGACAACTCCCACCACTGAGGACTTATCACCATGACAACTCCTGCCACAGGTTCAGAATTTTTAAATGACCAGTGAGGGTAAAGTGGGCAGTATTCAAATTAGGTTTTCTAAAGTAACCAATGGGGGGTATTTGGACAACACTCTAATTAGGTTTCATAAGGTAACCAATGGGGCAAGTGGGGTAAGGTCTTCAATCAGGTCTATATAGGGAAGAGGGCCTCACAACTCAGCAAGTAAGTCACTAATTTCCAGACACTGGGGCTCTGAGCCTCTCTCTTGCTCAGCCCAGTCTGCTCTACTTACCAGAATGTTACTTTCACCTTCACCTTCAATAAATCTGTACTTTGTCTTCAGTTGTGTGTGTCTTGCTCAATTCTTTATTTGGGACACCAAGGACCTGGACTCCGACTGGACACCCTGATGATAACACAGTCATCCATTGCTGGCTGCCCCAACCCCTGCCCTAAAAGTTCCCAGCAGGGAGCTCTGCCCACAGGACTGGACCATGCAGAAGTCTGCAGTTAGCAATCTCCCAGAGGGGTCAGTCTACCCTGAAGACCCATTTCACTTTCTTTATATCACTGGACCATTTGAACACACATCACTTTCTCCATTGATGTGGGCAATGAAATCAAGTTTACTCAAGCACATTACTGCACATCAATCTATCATATTAACCAAGTTCACTAGCCAAAAGCAAAGTAAGGCAACTGTCCAGATAGCTCAGAGAAAGGAGAAACAAATATCTGGGTTTATCTGAATTGCTTAGAGGATAAAACAGGGCTTATAATGGCGACTTCTGGTTTGGGGACCACTACATAAAAGTGTTAATGCACAAATGTAGATTTGCCATTTTCTTATAGAAAAATATTCAAGGAAAGTCACTTCATCTTCAACATGATAATTTTTTTTTTACTACAAAATGGCAGTTACCTTTTATAGAGTGCTATTCCACATTATCTGATTCCAAGTTTCACATGAGCCCCATGAAGCAGGGCACACAGAATTATTCCCATTGCATACATCAAGGAACTGAAGCTCAGAAAAGCAAATTGAAATGCCCACAGGAAACAACCAGCATGGTGCCAATGCCAAGAGGAAGCCTCCATCTGCAAGCTTCGAGTGCAGCACCCTTTCCACCACCTTTCTTTGCACTTTTTTCCTCCGTACAGCTACCGAACTTTAGGACTCCTGGAAGATTTCTGAAGCTGTGCTCTATAAGTACCTAGAGGACAGGGACAACATCGATTTACCACATTTCACAGCACTTGGGTTCAGGGCAACTTTGCAGATTGGTCAATAAACTGTACGGTGTTGGTGTCAGAGCTCACAGTGTGGACAGAGTTAAGACTCTGCATTGTGGTGGACTCTTCTGACCCTTCTCTCTCTTATCTCGATGCATTTCCTTTCTGAAACTTAATTCCTACAATCAGCAGACAGAAAATAACAATGACCAAATCCCAAAGCCAGCCAAATGGACACACAGCAGGGAAATGCTTGGGAATGACTTCTCAAAGGCAGGAGCAGATCCTCTAAAGAGGTAAGGCAGCAACTCCATGCTCACAATGCTTTCCTTCATGGTCTACCGTCTGCCCTCACTATCTCGCTCTTCTCTGAACATAATGTGATTTTTAGCAAAGAGCAGGCTTAGAGGAGAGAACAACATGGTCTTATATGCTTTGTCCTTCATAAACCAAAGCAAGGCACTGCATAAAGATGTGCCCTTGGAGTGGTTTTTGTCAATGTAAGTATAACTCCCTTTGCCTAATAAGGTACACTCTTATTACAAAAAAAGAAAAAGTCAATCAAACATTTGACTGAGAAATATTAAAATAAAATATTCAAATATCCTTGATGTTAATACTTCAGAGGTAATTTACCATACCTTACCATTATTCTGATTTTCATTTAGCAATGGAATTCCCCCATCTAACTCCAAACCTGACAAATAATTCATTAATAAAAAATAAAAGTGAATAAACTAAACAACCTTTTAATGAAATCTGTCTCAAATCCTTCCTACACTTTATTTTTAGCATGGATAACTGTTCTCAATCTTTTTTACAGTAGGGTATACTTGAAGTGGATAGCATGGGGCCACAGGGCCTGGTAGGATGAGAGACACAGTTCTCTGGGTGGGTGTGGCCTTGACACTGTTCCAGGTTTCAACATAGAGCTTTGAATCCTGTCCTTGCCACTATTAGCATAAGGCACTAACTAAATTAACCAGCTTCTCACTGTTACATGATTCTAAAAGATTTGCTCCCCAGTAGATCTCTGTATATCACAAGGATAGATTTTAATTTAAGATGATAAAGATTACGTGTAACAGATAAATCTTTCAATGAAACACTACCTAGGCTCATTCAATCTCTAGGACTAGAATCCCACATATTTGAGCTCCTTCTCTTAAAAATGAATATTCCACATATATGATCATCTAAAGCCAAAAAGGAAAAATAAACTTGGCCAATTAACTAAGCAGATTTCCACTCTTGCTCCTATCATGTGAATGCCCAAATAAACTTTAAAATAAACAAGGCTTCAGGTGTAGGTTAAGGGAAGTGACAAGTCCAAGGTTACAAAGTCATTGACAGGGCATCCATGACCGCCTAAGAAATACTGCAGTAACAGACTGCTGTTTGCATTTGCTGGTTAGGGCAGGATGTAGCGTCTGACTGATCCCAAGTGGAGGAGCTTTTAGTGTCCAAAACGACACTAAAAGAGGTAGCAGATACTACTCAAGACAGATCCAAACTATCTTAAATCGGGTGACACCAACTGGGTTAAAGGGAAGAGTTGAGTTTTAGAATCATCACTTGACCCAAAGCCTGGTCAGGATCTAGACCTGCCTGCCAATCACCAAAATGAAGTGGTGTAAAACGAAGTTTCCATACGTGCTTAAAGGAAAAACGCCATCAAGAGAACTGCTGATACTGAAGCTCTGCCACACACATCGTGCTACTGCAGCTTCTCAAAGAAATCCTAACAGCAACCCAGTGGGGCATCAGCTTCACCGAGCGGGATGCATTTCTGGAGCCCGGTTCTCAGCTCTCCTCCACCCCACCCGCACCGCATCCCAACCCACCGTCCACCGGAAAGTCCTGACTCGCTCTGCGGCACTTTTCCAGGTGCCCGGTCCCGGATCCGAGGGGCTGGGGGGCGAGGCCCGAAGAAGCGAGAGTCGGAGGTGAAGGGAGCGGACCGCGGGTCACGTCAGGGAACCCTCGCCCCAGAAGGGTGTGAGCCCTGACCCCCCGCAAAGGACCCCCGCCACCGTCCTCCCGCGCGCCCTCCGCGGCTCGCCCGCAGGCTCGCGCGGTCCAGGCGTGTCCACCCCCGCGCCGTGCTTTGGTCTTTCCAGAAACCGGCGATCTGCCCGGGTCCCGAAAATGGGGACGGGTCGAGGGGCCGTGCACCCCCACCCCGGGTCTCGGCTCCGCTCCTTCCCGCCGCCTCGCCCCGGCCTCGCCCTCAGGACCCCGCCGCGCCCAGCCGCCGCGCTCACCTCGGCCCGCGCCCGAGCTGGTAGCGGTGGAGTTCCCGCAGCCCATCGCGCCGCTGGCCCGGGAAGCCGCGCTCAGGAGCTCGCGGCCGCGGGTCCTGGGGGCGGAGACCAGACAGAGGGCGGCGCGCCCCGAGCTGGAAGCTGGCAAGCGCGCGGGAGCTGGGGACGCGCGGGGGACGCGCGGGGGACGTCCCTCCTGGCGCCGGGGGGCGCGGGAGGGCGGGGCGGAAATCGCCAGGCACCCCCGCCCGGCCCCGCCCCGCCGGGGGACCCCGCCGGACCCACCCGTCACCCCGGCAACCGCGGCTCCAGCCAATCCGCGCGCTCCTCGGCCGCTCATTGGTGGTTGTTAAGAGGGGGCGGGAGTTTAAAGTGGGTTCGGGGGCAGAGGGCGTGGCCGGCACGGGCGGGGCGGCGAGGCGGGGGGTGCCCACCTGCACACCCTCCACTTCCTCTTTGCCTGCTGTTTTATTTCCTCACTTCCCCTCCCTGCCCCAGGATGTGGGGGGCAGAGGAAGTTGCGGGGAGCACCTGTGTTGAGCCTCGTGGATGCCCAGTGGAGGTGATTGACTCAATGATGTTCAGAACTGAAGCCCCAAACAAGACTCTCTCCTGCTTTAACAGAAAGCTAATGCAGCTCTATTCCCCCATCCATCGTTGCCAAGAGGAGAACAAGTTCTTTCCCAGGTTGGTCACATGAACATACTCCACTTTAAAATAAATGTTTGTCACGACTTCAGTGACCAGCGCCCTGAGTTGATGACAGAAGTGTGTTGGGCAAGTACTGTTGGAGTCAGGCTGTCTAGGTTACAACCCTGCCCTGCCCACTGATACCTGCAGAAGAGTAAACCTGTAAAGCACCCAACATAGTGCCTGACCTTTAATGCCAGCTGTTATCCTCAGTCTTAAATCTATTAAGAGTAAATGCAAATACCTTGGAGGTGAGGACTAGGATATTTCAGTGTTCTTCCGGCTCATAACGTAGACTCAATAAATGGCTTGTGAAGGGAATTCAAGCCAAGAATTAAAGCTCCATTTTAAACTCAATATTTTAGAGAGCCTAGCCTGTGCCAAGTCCTTTGTTAAGTCCTGGGGATAGAAATGTATGGGAAACAGTCTCACCAGGAAGACAGGTTATGATGAGGACTTGGTTATCCTATCATTCAGGATACAGAGATAAGCCATCCTCTATTTGAAAATTAGGTATACATGGCCATGCACTGAGATGATATTAATTCTTGGACAAAGGTGTTGTTTTTTTTTTTTCAGTTGACCTCTAGAAATATTGCTTCTTTACCTTGACCTCAGCTGTCTTGATTCAAAGATCACCCCAATACAAGTCCACAATTGGAGGGTCCCCAAAAGAAATACTCTTGCTTATTTCTATGCTGTCTGATAATAGACTTTGGCCCTCCTACACCTGTAAGAAAGAGGAAAACAAATTCTGTCATCCAGAAACTGACTTGACCTAACTAGACCTTTGCATTCTTCTATTGAATGTGGTTTCACAGAACATGATATCACACAAGGCCAATCTCTAATTGATGGAGTGAGATTAAAAAAAAAAAAAAAAAACAAGACTCAGTAATGTTGTCTAAGCACTGACACAAAGAAAGTCACTATGCCAACCACAAGAACCCCCAACAACCCCCATCCTGGAAATATGAATGCTGCTACTTTACCTATGATTATTTGTTTGTTTTTACCAGTTTCAGTCTTTCTGCCTTGTAGATGAGATTTATTGAGATTATCCAAGGAATTATCCTTGCTTCCTGATGATATCCAATACAGAAAAATCACCCTGTTTTCCTTAAATCCCAACCAAAAATCACCTAAAAGGAATTTAAATTCTATCAATTCTTTCCTAACATCCTCCTACTAAGATACTTCATGGATCCTCATGTTGTGTTTTGTTTTGTCTTGTTTTAACTGCAGTGAGCAGCAATAAACCCAATTTGACAACTACAAATGTGTTCCCTGTGTTCCCGGCTGGAGGGCATTGACCCCTGTCACTAACATGCTCCAAGGTTACAGAGTATGTATCTATGCATTGTTTCAACAAACACTATTCAGGAGCTCCTTTGTGCCAGCTACTTCTTTACATGCTTCTAGTACATGTGACCATGAACTAGAAGGAGAGGAAAAAATATAGTGGGAGGAGACATCAAAATAAAATAAAATAATTTCAGATTCTATAAGTGCAATGGGAAAAAATGAAGCATGTCACTGGAATAGGAGACCAGTAGTAGGAGAGAAATATTGTGCTATTTTATATGGGGTAGCCAAGTAAGGGTATTTAACTGAGATATGATGGATGACAAAATATCAGACATGTGACAACTCAAGGAAAGAGCATTCCAGGCAAAGAGAATAGCTAGTGCAAGAGCCCTGAGGCAGGAGCATGCTGGGTATGTTTTTTAAACAGGAAAAAGGCCAGGAGGGCTGGGCCAGAGCAGAGGTGGGGGTGGGGAGCCAAGAGGTAGGTCAGATCACTCCAACTATGACTGGGCCTGGTAAGGAGTTAAAATGTATACAGAGGGCAGTGCAAGGTCATTTGATGAGTATGAAAAGTTCCCAATAAGATGCAAATATACAAAAAATAATGTGGCGTGGGGACTGGGGTTATGGATCAGTGGTAGAGCACTTGCCTAGCACATGTGAGGCACAAGGTTTGATCCTCAGTATCAAATAAAAATAACTAAATAAAAATAAAGGTACTGTGTCCATTTACAACTAAACATTTAAGAAAAATAATGTGAAGAGTAAATCTAGGGTCACCTTTTTCCTGTTTAGGGATTTATTTTTGTTTTGTCTTATTTTATGGGTGAAGACTCATTGCATTCGGATATTTCTAAAAATAGTCAAAAGAAAATCATGAATGCATGCCCCACTTCCTGATGGGTCGATGTCAGCTTCTCTCTGTGACGGTGAAACCACACTACCTTGCTGTCTTGATCTGGTGTGAAGAAGAGACAGGAGGCGCATGATTGAAACGGATCTGATGGGAAAGACGAGGCGAGAGAGAGCAGAACAGGGAGCCAAGTAAGCCTACGTCTTCCTTCCCGTAGAGGGCTCCCAACAAAATGTTTGGCAGCCTGGTTTTATTTTTATTTTTCCCTGTTGACATGCGACAAGATGGCTACAATACTCTACATCTAAAAAGGGGGCTTTTTACAGTAGATGGGGTAGAGAGAGAAGATGGGAGGGGAGGGGAGGGGGCATAGTAGAGGATAGGAAAGGTAGCAGAATACAACAGTTACTAATAGGGCATTATGTAAAAATATGGATGTGTAACCGATGTGATTCTGCAATCTGTATTTGGGGTAAAATTGGGAGTTCATAACCCACTTGAATCTAATGTATGAAATATGATATGTCAAGAGCTTTGTAATGTTTTGAACAACCAATAAAAAATAAATAAAAAATAAAAGGGGGCTTTTCTCCACTCTGTGCCTTTGAAAGCCAGGAGGGACCCAAGTACACTCCCCCCCACCTTTTCCATTGGCCAGGATGATCCCCATGACATACAGTCAGAAGGTGGATAGCAACCTAAGTGTGTCTCAGTGTCTATGTCATGCACTTCCCTCCCCTGTGGTCAGGACTTGTCTCACTCCATCACCAGAACAAGGATGAGTACAGGACAGTATTGTTGGAGAGAGAGCAGGAGAGCCCACGTTGGCATAACTTTTATTACAGGTATTATCATACTGTCCTACTTTGTTATTACTTATTGTTGTTGATCTCCTACTGTGCCTAAGTTATAAATGAAAGCTCCATCACAGGTATGTATGTACAGGGAAAAAAAAACAGCATAAAAAAGGGCTTGTGGTCTCAGGCATCCACTGGAGGTCTCAGAATGTACACCTGCAGATAAAGGGAGACAGCTGTCGTTGATTTTGAGTTTCAATAACATATTTGTCCTTTATTTTGTACATATCCGGCAGGAGACTTGGGTACAAACAACAAACACTGACTGGCTTCGTCAGCAGGAGGAGAACTCACTGTGAGGCTGTCGGGCCATCCACAGACCTGACAGAAGGCCGGGAGGCCAGGCAGGGGACGCAGTCCAGGAGCAAAAGAGGCTGGAGGAGAGGAACAATGCAGCCAGCCACTCGGTGCCTGTCCCTAGTGCCTTTGCTGTCTCCCATCACAGCTGCTGGCACAGACCCAACCCCATCTCCACTTAACCTTGTGCCACTCTCCCATGGGCTTCTCAAAATCCCAGGAGGGAAAGTACAAGGTCAAGTGCTCTGTGGGGTCAGGGAGAAGGAGAAGCTTTCCTCCTTTAATGGAGATGGGCCCAGGGTGGGGGACGCTCTGCCTGCCATCGTGACTTAAATAGCAGGCGAGTCCCCAGAACTTGAAAGAGTATTTTCTGAGTGGCTGAAACACAGCAGGCAGTACAATATGGACAGCACCGACTCCAATGCTGTCATCTGAAAACAAGCAAAGAGGCCAACAGGCCTGCAGAGGTCTGGTCACAGGCCTGGAGTAAGCCCAGGGCTTTTCATTGCTTGTCCACCCAGACTGCGTGGACCGAGAGCCAGGAAAGGGAGAGCAGATCTTGGAGGCTCCAAGTCAGCCCTCCCTTTCCCATTCCAGGCACTCCGTAGTAGCATGTAAATTTGATCAAAATACTTCCTCCCATTTTCCTTAGAATCTTCTATGGCTTCCCATTGCTCTTAAGATAAAGATAGTCCTTAATGGCACCTATGAGGTTTTGCCTGGTCCAACCTCTATCCACCTCTTCTACCTCCATCCTCCTTCCTGTGCCTTTTTTGGCTCCTTGAAAGCTTTGTGCCCTCCAACACTGGGCCTTTGCACAAGCTGTTCCCCTTCCCCAAATGCCCTTCCCTCTCCTCTGAGCCTGGTTTTGCTCAGGGTTGTTTCTCTAGCACCTCACCCAATGTTTGCACCAAAGCACAGTCTCTGGAATATTTGGGAGCCTCTATCCATGCCACCAGGCAGTTCATCTTCTAGAGAAGGAGACAGGCAAAATAATAATAACAAATACAAATAGATGCCCAAAAATCACAAGGTAGGGTATGTGCAATGAAGATGTTTAGCCATATATCAGGCTAAAATTAAAGACACAAACAGATTGGCTTATTTCACTCAACACAATAGTCTCCAGATTCATCCATTTACTGGCAAAGGTTATAAAGTCTTTCTTTTTATGGCTGAGTAATATTCCATTGTGTATATATACCGCATTTTCTTTATCTGTTGATGTGTCAAAAAGCCAATCCCTACAAACCCAAAGCTGAATGTTCTCTCTGATACGTGGATGCTAGCACACAATAAGAGAGGTGTTGGGAGAATAGAAGTTCATTGGATTAGACAAAAGAGAATGAAGGGAATGGACACCACATCATGTACAACCACAAGAATGGGAATAAGTTATACTCCATTCATCTTCTAGAGAAGGAGATAGGCATGTATGTATAATATTCCAAATATACTCTACTGTCATGTATATCTAAAAAGAACAAATACAAAAATTTAAGAAAAAAAACACAAGTAGAGATACATAGGAATAGTGACATTTAGACCGAGATCTGAGGATGGAAGGAACTAGACCAATGGTTCTTAAAATGTCCTGGCTTTGTGTCGCAGTCAGACACGGGCACCTCAGGTTGCCAGGTTTCAAGGCTCAGAAGCAAGGCCCAGGTAGAACCTTGAGAGCACAGAGATGTGCTGAGCCAGTTTCCTGGGATTTGAGAGTAGAGGGCGTATCAGGAATTGTGGGCTAGTGTCCCACCGACAGGCATCTGGAGGGATCCCATTTTTACTCCACACAATGTATCGACTGTGTTTTCTGCAGGCCGATGTGTGGTTTTTATGATGTTGGCCAATTTCAACTGGAGGGAGTGGGATGGAGACTCTGAACTGGCCATCGATTGCCCTGCAAATCATCCTTTTTCCTCACCCCTCAACATGGCCAGCCCTCACGATCTGACGATATCACATTTTTTAAGTTGAAATGAATCCTTCCAGAGTGACAACCCAGTGGTATTTGTCATGTTCTCAATGTTGTGCAGCCATCACCCTCTGTTCAGTTACTTCAAAAACACTTCCTCACCCAGGAGGAGACCTGGCCACTGTCCAGCAGTCCGGCCTCTTGCGTCGCCCAGCAGCCACCGACCTGCTTTCCGTCTCTATGGGATTATCGATTCTGGCTGTTCGTATAAATGGAGGTGTTGTTGCATTTTAAATTGGGAGGGGAGGGTGTTCTGTAACGTTTTGATGTGATCAAGGCTTGCATGTTGCCTTGTCCTATGAACTTCCTGGCTTATTAGGTCCAACTGGCATCTGGGGTAAGAGGGCTTGTTTACCATCTCCGGCTATTTACAATGTGAATGTGATGGGGAGGAACTGGGGAAAGATTTGCCACAGGCAAGTTGATATCCTTGTTGCCAGGCACCTCGAAAGCAGCACCGAGAAGGTTTACTGCATCTGTAAAATAAGTAACATCGTGTCCTCTTCTTGGAAGAAAACTGCGTAGAGAAGATCCTTTCCTTCAGGGAACTGAGAGCGTTTTGCTTGGGTGTCTGATGTTCAGGCTGTGATAGACTTGGATTAGCCTGTGCCAAGTGGATGAGTCGGCCCTCGTGACTCGGGGGAGATCAAGCTAGAACTCAAACCATGAGCAAGAAGTAATGTGTATTATTTTGTTGTTTGTTTGTTTGCTAACTGGAGATGAAACCCAGGGTTGCTTTCTTCTGAGCTACATCCCCAGCCCTTCTTGTTTTTTTTCATTTTGAGACAGGGTCTTGCTAAATTGCTGAGGCTAATCTTGAACTTTCCAATTCTCTTGCCTCAACCTGCCAAGTAACTGGGGTTACAAGGAGTATACTACCACACCCAACTGCCCCCAAATATTTTTGCTTATATTTTTAAAATTTAGACTCATCTTTAATTGATACATAAACCATAAAAGTTGAACATATGCATGTAAGGAGAAACCATGTGATGTTTTAATACATGTATACATTCTGTGATGTTTAAATCGGGGTAAGCAAACCTATCTCCTCAAACATTTGCCATTTCTTCATGGTGAAAACATTCATAATTCTTTCCTCTAGCTTTCATTTACTTGGTTTTTTACACATTATTCTTGAAGATTTAAAACATGGTTGAATAATCTTTAATGATTTAAAAACATGCAGAAAGACTCTTCAATGTTATATATCCACTTACAAATTCAGCATTCAGACACACATAGTCCTTTTGCTTGAATTTAATTTTAGATCTAATATTTTAAATAATGAAATACTATCCAGTCTTAGGGGAAACCAGAGCAAGGATTTCACTGCATGTGTAGGAGACCTTTATTACAATAGACTGTTATTGTATAAGTTCAATTTTTAAAAGTGGGATTTTAGCAACTACATATTTGTGGGGAAATAAATGGAAACTTGATGTTGAAATTCTAAAGTGCACATTTCTCCTTTTTTTTCCAAAGAAATTCCTCTCTCCCAGATTATTATTTCTTAGACTACTTTAAGTGAAACCAAATGAGCTGTACTCTCATATTTCACCATTGCTTTACAAACATATTTGAAAACCAAATCGACATATTCTACCATGCTAAGGAGACTTTTTTTTCTCTAGCTACAAGACCCTTAGCATCCAAGTTTTGGGCGATTCATGAAAATCAGTCAAACCTTCATGCTAGAATCTCAAAGCGTTGGCTGATACAGCCAGAATGTCAATATTGCGTCTAAGCTGCTAATCAGCCTATCGAACGACTTCGTTGCCATGACTAACCAAACAATACCCTCTAACGGTTAAGATTAAATTGCTCGGAAAAGAGGGAGGGAACCGGAAGATGAGACAGAGACACTTCATCATTAGCTAAAGCAAACGGAATTGGGACTTTATTTGTGTTTGGAACCCAAAATCAAAAGGATTTCTAGAAGAACTGGTTTCCAAATTCAGGAAGACCCTGTGAGGAGCGGAAATCTGCCAAGGTGCAGAGAGATAATGAAGACATCATTGTCTAACATTAACTGCTACAACAGAAGTCAAAAAAAAAAAATCTTATTAAATTACTACAGTGTTTCCTGTCTTAAAGATCTTAAAATATGATTTCAGACACAGTGTCTTGGGCTGGAAACTTCCTCGATTGAAACTGCCTTCAGA